CCAGCCGCGGCCGCCTGCTCCAGGGCAGGAATTCTTGCCCCTCTGCCCCAGGAGGGAGGGTTCTGGGCAGGGGTTGAAGGGTCCTCCTGAGTCCCGGCCGTTTCCTTCTGCTCTCACGCCGCTTCCCTCTCCTGCTCTCCCTTCCAGGTTGGCCGCCTTGCGGAATTAAGGACTGCTGCCCCGCACCGGTGGGCTGGCGTGCGGGGCGAGGGGGCCCGGGACTCCCTCCCCACCACCTCTGCTGCGTCCTCGCCGTGACCCACCGGCCACCCCCCCTCCCGCAGCACTCGCCCCGCCGGCGCTCAGACTCTTCCGTCGGGGTGTGCCGGTGCCGGCTCTTCCCGGAGCAGCTCCTGGCAGGGGGTTTGTGAGCAGGGCCGGGCTCGAGGAACGCTTTGCTGGTTCCCATTTCAGGGTGTTTTTCGTTCCAGGGTTGCTGCTGCTCTCTGGCAGCGTCCCGTGGCGCAACGTCCGGCTTCTGATGTAACACTAAACGCGTCCAACGGAGGCTGGTCGCGGTGTCGTCTGGGGTGCTGCTCGCCCGACGCTCCTCCGTGTGCCGCGCACGGCCGTCCTTACCCGGTTTAGACTGGTTCTCCGAGCTGCGCTTTCCTCGGGAGCAGGGAGATCCCCACGGAGCTGCCTTCCTCTCGCAGCCCTTTGTTTTCCCGGCAGTGGTGTTTCTGGGAAGGTCAGTGCCTTGCAGGAAAGGGCGGTTACTCCGTGGCATCTCCTCCCTCGCCGTGACTTTCCCGAGCCATAGCCCAGTGCCCTGTTGGCAGACTTCACCTCGCCAGCCGCTAGCTCCTAGTCCTGCCAGGCCAAACCCCCCTGGAGCTCTGTACCACAAAGTGACCTTTGAAACGCTCATCCTGCCCCATCCATGCATTCCGCATCCCCAGCCGCCGCAGTCTGGAAATGGTTAACCAGGCCTTGATCTCTAGTGTGGGCCAGTCCCTGCCCCGCATCCAGCAGCTGGGAACAGATTGCAGCAGCTTCCACCCCCCCGGGCTCGCAGCTCTGGTGGCCACAGCCTCTTGCCCAAACGTCCCGCAGCTGGATGGGTGTGACAATTCGTGTGGAACCACCCCGGGAGCGTGCCTGCCCGTGGTCCCCTGGATATTTGCTGCCACGTCCTCTCTGCTGTCCCCACCACGCTGCAGCTGCTCCTCGACCTGCCTGGGGGTGAGGGGGCTGCTTCCCGCATCCCCTTTCTCGCTGCTCGCGGGGAGACGCGGCTGCGTGCCCCTCGGCGCCTTCCCTGGCGCTGAGGTTTTCTGTGCCGCCACCACCGAGGTGCTGGATCGCTGGGAAGCTCACCGGGAAGGAGATGTAGTTTCCTTTGGCTCTCACGAGGAGGAACTTTTAACGTCGTGCCGCAGGCTGTAAATGAGTGCCATGGGGCCAGTGGCGCGGTGCCAGTGGTGCCATGTGCCGCTGGGGGCAGGCAGCTGGGCCCGCTGCAGTGGGGCAGCTCTGATTCGTGGCTTTTGAAGGGAATTTTAAGGCACACCCAGCTGCTGCTTTGGGAGAGGGGGGGTGGGAAGCGAGGGGTTTTTTCCCCCCCCCCCCCCGCTGCCGGTGCTGGCTGCCGTCCCGGATGTGGGGCAGGACTCGCGTGGGCCAGGAGCCATCATCTTCCCCAGCACTTGCAACACAAACACTTTTCGCTGTTTTGATTATTTCTCTGGAGTTCAGTGGCCTTGGCAGCGTGTGTCCGGTGACCCACCAAGCCTTTTTCCCCGACGTGTGCCACCGTTGGGCCGCGGGGTGGTGACTGGGCAGGAGGGAGGTGGCTTTGGGCTATGAAGTCACCTTGGATCTTGTGCCACCTCCCGAGGGGCTGAGCGGAAAGCGGGAGCCCCCCTGGAGCTGGGTCCTGCTCCCTGCGGGGCCAGGCAGCCTGGCCCTCGATGGGTGCCATGCACGGGTGCCACCTGTGGGGTGGGGGCCAGGAGCCCCTGGAAGTGCTCCCTCTTCGTGTGATGTTTCTCTGTGGTTTCATTTGTGTCGTTTTTAAAGCTTCTCTCATTTGCCTTTTTCTTCTCCTCCAAACCCCTGTCGGCCGCCTTCTGCCGGGTTAAATAAACAATCCCTGAACATCCCTCGCGGTGTGGCTGGGGGGTCGGACGCCCAGGGGGGG